GTGCGGGCGGACCAGTCATACTGTAGACTCTGAGAGAGTGTGGACCGGGTGGACTGAAGGCCTGGTGTAGGTGGACCAGTCACACTGTAGACTCGATATGCATGGTTGTTCTGTTTATGATATGATATGATATGTGTATGGTATTGTGGTTGGTATTTTGGGGGTAACTCACTAAGCTTTCGGGCTTACAGTTTCAGTGTATTGTTTCAGGTACTTCAGGAGACCGTGGCAAGGTGAAGGCATGATCGTACCGCTCCTCAGTTTTATGTTAACGTTCTGGGATACTCTAATAATAAAAGAATTGAAAACATTTTTTGTAATAACTTAATGAATATAGGTTGTTTTTGAAAAGTTTAAATTGGTTGTAAATTTTCATGGTGTTACACAAACTTCAGGTTGAGTACGCCCAACGTACTCAGATCGTATGCATAGCGTACTTACCAACAAGAATCGGGACCCCCTACGAGTATGCGCAAGGTACTCGAAGGAACACCCAACGTACTCGACCAAATGGCACTTTTCCATTAAGTGCTTAATCTCTTAAGTACTTTCGTCCAACACCCAGATCTAGTCCCACAACATCATTCTAAGTCATAAAGTTTTCACCTTTATGACTTTCCATGTCTAGAAAAGGTCCAAAATATAAAACCTTAACTTATCAATCCATTAAGACATCATGACACTCTCATGGAAGGTATAAAAGGATCAAGATTACATTTTTATGGATCCTAAAAGCTCCATAATGGATAAAGTTTCCAACTTTATCCATTAGAATGGTCCAAACCACCAAGATCTATCCTTTAAGCATCAAATGGGACCAAAAGTGCATCTTTTTCAAATTAATCCATTAAGTCCAAGTCTCCAACCTTCAGATCTGAATCACAATGATGTTTAAATGGATAAAGTTTTCAACTTTGTCTATAACAAGGTCACAAACTTTCAAGATCTAAACTTTATGCACTAAAATGACCAAAAGCTCATAACATCCAAAACTAGCTAGATCCAAGAGATGCGTCATCAAGATTCAAACTTTATACCTCTAGAAGACAGATCAAGGTGAACAAAGTCTAGATCTACAAGCTCCAATGCAACCAACACTTCTACAAGAAGTTCCTTCTTGTCCAAGTTGCAGCATGCATACTCCAAAGCACTCAAAATCACCTTCTTTTGGCTTAAAAGGCTCATTTAAGGTTAGGGTTTCATGAAAGGGGTGTTGGAGGGGTGGAGGCTGAGAATGGAGTGGTTTGGGGGAGTTAAGGAGCTTAAATAGGGGTTAAACAACGAAAATAGGGTTTGGGTAGTGATTGTGTACGCCCAACGTACTCTTGGTACACCAAGCGTTCTTAGGATTCCATTAGTACGCCCATCGTACACCTTTTTGTACGCCCATCGTACTCAGCTTGGCCCAAAACCACCCAAACTTCAAACGGTCATAGTTTCTTCACTCTAACTCCGTTTTCGACGTTCTTTATTTCTACCGAAAGGTATTGAGGAGCTATACAACCCTATCTAATTACTTTTAACTTAAAACACAATGAACTAAAATCCATAATTCATAAAAGAAGTCTGAAACACTACATTCCCATTTTACCCTTAAACTCCAAAGGGAAAACTGAACTATTGGATCACATATCTATATTACCCACATCCAAATGGGCCTAAATCTTACCTTTTAAAGGCCCTAATCCTTATGATGACCGCTCCTCGGGCAACAACCTCGAATTAGGAATTAATTCGGAACAGGGCGTTACACCTCATGCATCTCTTATATAGCTCATGAAAAATAAGGTCTAGCCATTAAAATAATCTAAAGTAATGGTAGACTTTAGAAGCATGAGAGACAAAATGTGGAAGGTTGAAAAAGCAACCTCCTACACCATCATTATGCTTTTTAAAAAGTAAGATTCTTTATTTTTTATAAACTCCAAGTTTATAAAATATAAACTTTGTCTTTAGGTAAAAGACAAAAGAATTCAACTTGTCCAAAATATTGTGCTTGACTTATTAATTTATACCATATGAAATAATAACCAGTAATACTCTTTTATAATTATTATTTTCACAAAACAATAATTATTCCCTAATAAAAATACAAGAATCGATATTATTTATTAATATTCATATTAATAATAAATATACAAAATGTGCCAACTTTATAAAGGTGTGACCCTATAGGATTATATATTATTAGCAATATCACTCCATAATGAATCTTGGATATATAGATCCAACACTTCTGATGATCGCGGGAAGGCGAAGATGTGACCGTACACATCCTTTGTTTATGGCTTTATGATTTTAGGTTACCCTGATATGGATAAACAATTTGGAAACAATGATTTTATAAACATTTTACGACTATGGGTTGTTTTTAAAATTTTAAATTTGTTATTATTTTTGAGTCCTTATTTTTCGTTGTCTAGTTCCGGTTGCTCGGGTGTGAGATTTACTTGTCGTCAGTATCACGTGAGTCTAGAATAATTGTATTTGTGATGACTAACTGGGTCTACTGTTATTTTGTATTATATTGTTATGTGTGAGGGAGACTGCAGATAGTCTACAGGGTTGCTTATAACCCATAGGGCGTGCTATTGGCCACTGGGACTGGTGATAGTCCCCATGGTTGCTGATAACCCATAGTTGTTTAGTTATGTTGTGATGTATGTGGTATCTTGGGGAACTCACTAAGCTCCGTGCTTATAGTTGTTGATTATGTGTTTCAAGTACTTTTGAGGACCGCGGGAAGACGAAAGTCTGATTGAGAACTATGATATTTTGTGATAATGTTTGTTTTGGATAATTATGTGTTTGATAACTTGGTTTGTGAAACATTATTTTGGTAAATTAAAAATAATAAATTTGGCCTAGAATTTGAGGTGTTACGAATAAATTATAATATATAAAATAAAAGTATATTTTACAAAAGCTTGTTTAAGCTCGTAAGCTTAAGCGAGCCTGTAAGTGCAGACTTGAGATTAGGCTTGTTTGTTAAATGTGCTTTATTATAGGCTCGAACTGAGGCTTGGGATCGTTAAGACTCGGTTCGTTTCAAGTTTTTAACGATCCAATCTCGGGTAGCTCGCGAGTAGCTCGGGTTGTTTACATCCTTAGGAACAAGGGCATAATCGATTACTTTTGGGACAAATACCAAAAATGTTTTTTAAAACCGAGGACTAAGCTTGTAATTTATTTTAAATAAAATTTCATAATTGGTCCCCGTGGATTGCAAAATATTGCTCTTTGAGGATTTCTATGAAAAAGTCACGTCGCTGCTCCCTATGGTTTCAAAAACTACATGAATGGTTATTATGGTGTTAAATTTGACTTTTGATTAGTTAGTTTTTTCTAAATGACCAAAATGCCATTGGTCCAAATTTGAAAATTATGTATACCTCAAGGATCAATTATGAAAATTTTAAAGTATATATATATATATATATATATATATATATATATATATATATATATATATATATATATATATAAATTCGTTAAACCATATCAAAACCATTTTTTCTTTAATTTTTCTTATTTGTTAATTAAAACCGATATATATATATATATATATATATATATATATATATATATATATATATTTTAATTTTATGCCGCTGCGGTTCATGTTTGTTTCACTTAGATGCTTCACCAAATAACCGAAGTTCTTATTTTTATCTATTTAAACTAATAATTAAGTTAAAATTTATATTGAATTATGTGTTTTTCATAGTTATTATCATTAGCAATTTTAAGTTTACAGTTATCATTATCACTATCTAGCATTTTTTTTATTTCCTATTAAATTGTTTCCCGATTCTTTGGTTCTTGGTCCAATTTTGTTCGGATCTGAAGTTGAACTACTGAAAAATATAATTAAACTAATCATAGAGCCTTACTCTTAATATTTCTTTTATTCTTTATTTTAATCCATTATCAAATTGAAAAATATAATCTTGAATTTTGAACTATTGATATCACATATAGAAATAAGATTTAATTTGAATTATTGATAACACATACAACATAAAATTAAAAACAAAACCGTCAACGGTTCCATTTATAAATAAGAAAAATTAAATAAAAAATGGTTCCAACATGGTTTATCGAATTTAAGTTCATTTACTTGAATTAAAATAAATAAAAACATTAGGAAATTCATAAATAAAGAAAACTATAAAAGAAAATAGAAAACAAAATGTTATATATATATATAAGAAAAAGGTATATGTGGCTGTTATGTAACTAAACTTAGGTATAAAATCTTTTAAATGATATAGTTTTAAACAAAATAAATACAATTTTTATTTTCTTTTAATACAATACCATTGAATTGAGTTAATTCTAGAATGAAAAAGATTAATTATATATGTTTTTATTGCAAAAAGTCATTAAAGTTTATAGGTAAAGTAAAAGATCAATATTATTTAACGAATATAACTCAAATGTTTTGTTCTTCAATTGAAAAACTATATGGAATGATTTATGAAAAACTTGATTGAGTTATTGCATGATCTTTTTTTATATTTTATTCTAGTAGTTTTCATTTAAAATTTAGTATGACTGATTAAATAATCATGACTTTTAATGCTTTAAGTTCTTAGACACAATGAAGAAAAAAAACATAAACTCGATCGGTTTAGTAACTCACATGATTAAGGAAGAATAGTAAACGAGATATCATGATTCGTTTGGATATGTATAGACCAAAACTACATAGTTTAAAGGGTTCTAAATGTAAGCTTATGTACATAACAGTTACATATTCCTTAAGCCTTATATATAATTTTAAATTTTCATAATTGATAATTAAGGTATACATAATTTTCAGATTTGATCCAAAAGCATTTTGGTGATTTTGGAAAAATTTCAAAACTATACAGACCACAAGCATAATGTTTTTCATAAAAGGTCTCAAAATACAATATTGTGCAAACCATAAGGACCCATTATAAAATTATTTCTTTAGTTTATCATATATGTTTCGGGCCTTCGGGGCAGGATGGGTTGCGAGTACATCCGGATTTACTTGACCCCGTTTGAACCGCAATTAAACCGGAGCACGTACCTTTGTTTGTTTCACATTCACATTCTAGGTAGAGAGGGATGGCGGAAGAAGAGAATGGGGCGGCCGGCGGCGGAGAGTTTTACCTGAGGTATTACGTAGGCCATAAGGGGAAGTTTGGCCACGAGTTCTTGGAGTTCGAGTTCCGACCAGATGGTAAACTCCGTTATGCCAATAACTCCAATTACAAGAACGATACTATGATCCGTAAAGAGGTTTTCCTCACGCCTTCAGTTCTCAAGGAATGTCGTCGTATCGTCTCCGATTCCGAGGTTAGATTTTCCCCCTTTTACCTTTGTTTAATTTGCAATCGTCAGGGGTTTAACAGATTTAGGGTTCTGTTCTTACTCTTCTAGGGTTTTCGACATTGTTTGATTTATGAACAATTCTATCTTGGGTTTAGTTTGCAAATGTTAGGGTTTTAACAGCTTTTAGGGTTTGTCTGGTAGATTATGAAGGAAGATGATAACAACTGGCCAGAACCAGATCGTGTAGGAAGACAAGAACTGGAGATTGTGATGGGGAACGAGCACATCTCTTTCACTACTTCAAAGATTGGTTCACTCATGGATGTGCAAACCAGTAAGGACCCTGAAGGCCTTCGAATCTTCTATTATCTTGTTCAGGTATGTAAACCATTTTAACTATCTTTTGAGTTTATTCTCATGATCACTTGTCATTCTTTGGTGATGATGATATTATAATGTTATGTGGTATGTCATTAATCATTTAACAGAAGCTTTTTTCAAACTCCTTAATCATTTAAAAATAGCATTTTTATCTATGCTAAACACAATACAATCTCTTTTGTCATGTCTTGCCCAACATGAGAGTGTTTTTGCTGATGAATGTTTGAAAAATGCAGGATTTGAAATGTTTTGTGTTTTCACTGATATCACTCCACTTCAAGATCAAGCCGATATAAGGAAAAGAGTGATGGTATGTTTTAAGGTGTTTGTTAGATTTGGGGAAGTTGATGTTTAATGTGATTGAAGTTTGTATGAGATGAGTTTTGTGTTAAAAAAAACATGTTATCTTTTGTTAGGTGGTCATTGATATTTGATTGAAAGTTGAATTAAAATTGTAACAAGTGCAACTGCCTTTTTTTCGAGCTAAGAATTTTTATATAACTGTTTGTTTGCCTGAGCTCTCTTATAATGTTGTGGATATTTTGTGGGGAGAGTTTGTAATTATTGGATTTGACATAAAATTTGAAATATTAAACACATGAGGTCATCTTCAAATAAAATCCAAAACAGTAAAACTTGTTTTTACATCGTTTTTGGTGTAGAGTTGCACCTAATTTGGTGTTGATGAATAGCAAAATATCAAATGTAGTTCAACTTCGAACTCATTCGTTTTTAGATTATTATTTGTATTATTGTAAATTGCTAAAATGGTTATTGTAGTATGTGGTTTTATTTGAGAGTTATATAATATAGAATCAATCCTAAAAATTTGGTTTTACCATTGAAGATATATTTTTTGGTCGATATAACCAACTATATAAATGTTTATTAGTTTTGATTTTTGTACAATTCAGCCTATTCATTCAATATCATTTTATCCCATTCCCAAATTATATTTAGCTATCAAATCTTCATAATTGTTTGATAAATTTTTTTATATCTGAAATTCATAATCGACATTTAAATTTTTATTGTTTTTTATTTTTATAACAATATAGTATATAGTATATACATAATAATCTTATAATCTTTTGTATTTTTGAAAAAAGACCGGATCTAATTGTATATCTAGTTTTCCGTATTATAATATAATTATTTATTAAATTAATTGTTATTATACAAATAATATTTATTTTTAAAGAGATTATGCCCACGTAAAAATGAGAGGGCTTTCTAAAACATTTCACAATAATAGGGATAAATTAATAAAAAAAAGCTTTTAAAATGATAAATAATTGAAAAAAGGTTCATGATAAACGGTTTTGTTATGATATGATTTTAAGTGTTTCAGATAAAGCACAACACCATCTGTATTGTACAATGTCATAGCAACCATTGATTCGCCACAATCAATGTCACATATCACCGTCCTACCCTGTAATTTTTTTCGTTATTATTTAGGGGGAAGTACTGAATACGAAGACATAAGTCGTATAACCTCTTAAGGGTTTGTCTTTTGAAAGGTAAAAGTTCTTTTTGGAAAAGATAAAAAACAAAAGATGTTTGGTAAAAACATTTTAAAATTTGCTTTTGGATTTTAGATAGAACGAAAAGTGATTTTTTGAAAAAATTAAGAAAATCTGACTTTTTGTAGTTTTTTCAAAAATGATTTTTACCTCTAAAAAAGACAAATCAAAACCCCTAAACATTCTTTATAATATAAGTTCTACTATGGTACAAAAGCAAAGTGCCAATGTGCATTGGTTTTGGATTCAGAAAGCCCAAATCAAAATTGAAAGGGAGAAAAAGGAGAGGGACAATATATGTGAATTGAAATCAATAAAAATGATGTTTTAAAAGCATAATGATTTTTTTTAATAAATTGAGCATGTTTTAAGAGATGTTACAAAGTTGATTCTATTTTCATGAAGCAATTCAATATTTAAGCTTTCCGAACCATCTTTGTGATATCCATTAAAACATGTCCAATCTAAAAAAACTCATTATGCTTTTAAAACATCATTTTTAATACTATATTCTAACATAAAATCTCAAATAGCTTATTTAAACATAGAAAAAACAGCATAAATGGTTCCTGTGGTTTCTTAAAATCTGAAGTTTAGTCCCCGTGGTTTAGAAACGTCATAGCTGGTCTCCGTGCTTTCAAAACTTTTGACGATTGGTTCTTATTGCTAATTCCGTTAAGTTTTGTTCGTTAACTGAAGGGCATTTTCGTCATTTCACTGCCAGAAGGACTATTTATGATATTTTCTCTTATTTGTTTTGAATTAAATATAATTATTTAATTTAATATATAAAGGTCTCTCTCTTATACTCATTTTGAATGAACCACTGTAAACTAGAACCATCTTTATGCTAATCTAACACACATAAACACCATATAAATCAGAACTCAAGCTGAAGTTAAAGCTTGCAATCTATCTCGTCTTGTTTCTGCTAGAGCTTATAACGATTTTGAAGCTTACATTCAAAATTGAAGCTTACATTAGAATACCCAGTTCAATGGCTTACACCTAAAATTCATTGTTTTTCATGACTTTTTATCACCAATCAACACATGTGATTGATTCAGAGTGAAAAAAATGAGAAACTGTCCCAAATCCTTTAGCATAAAGATCTTCACGCACACCTGGATGATTGATCGAGTGAGTAACGATTTTACTGTAACTAGGTATCGTAGTAGTTCCAAAACAGGGAGGAAAGTTGAAATCATAATCAAAGAAGAAGGTATGGGGATTTTTAATAAGGGAATGGTGTTTTGGGTCTTTTCTATGGGTTCAAGAACCCTAGTTTATTCTTCTTCCTCTATATGTTATATCAAACATCATATATTTGTAGAGGATTTAACTTTGAGAGAGTGTGTATGTTCATATGTTTGATTTTCTACAGGAAGAAGGAAGAAGATGGGTATGTTCGTATGGGATGAAAGGAAGATGGATAGGTGGGTAGTGAGGATGGATTTCATATTCAGTGAGAAGTGGTGGATTTCAAGGTCCGATGACGATGATCCTTGCAGAGGTTCAACAACCATCGATCTTGGGAAAGAAACAACCATTGGAGAAATTACTTATGGTTGGTGATGAGATGGAGATCACGGGAGAGGCTAAATAGGGAGGAAATAGATGGGAGGTGATAATCGGTGGTGGTTATGGTGTTGCTGGAAAAAAATGGAGGTGTAGGGGTTCATTTCCACAAATCTAATTTAGGGTTGCTAATAGGAAGGGATGTCGGTAGATCTGTGGGTTTTGATCGGGTAGGGGCAGGAAATCACTTACCTTGGTCAGCGACATCCGATGGTCGTGGTGGCGGAAGGTGGTGATGGTCGCTTCCGGTTGTAATACAGATGGGGTTCAAAGTTTTTGGAGGTGAGGGAGGAAGACAAAGGTGTGTCTTTACTGTTTAAGAGAGAGAGAGAGAGAGAGAGAGAGAGAGAGAGAGAGAGAGAGCTTTTATATATTAAATTAGATAATTATATTTAATTTTAAAAATAATAATAATAAGAGAAAACATCATAAATGGTCCCTGTGGTAGTGAAATGACGAAAATGCCCTTTAGTTAGTGGACAAAACTTAACGAAGTTAGCAATAAGGACAAATCGTCAAAAGTTTTGAAAGCACATGGACCAGCTATGATGTTTCTAAACCACGGGGACTAAACTTCAGATTTGGAAAACCACATGGACCATTTATGATGTTTTTTCTTAAACATATAAGGAACTATGAAGTGTAAAAAAAATCATGAGGGGTGTCTCAATTTTTAAGTAGGCATGTCGAATTACAATTAACAATTGTATAACAATAACCACAAGTTAAGTGTATATGATTAAACCGTATATAATCTTTTTTTTGGAACCGACGGAAAACCGTATATAATTTAACTTGCTAGTGATGCAGGCATAATGAAACCAAACTATCCCCCTCATAACCACAAAACTCAAGAATTGCAAGAAATAGCAAAAGGAAAGATGAAGTAACCTTGAGAGCAATTCAATATGTTTTACAATCACCTTGGTGAACGTGTGTTATGGATGCCAAAAGTGTACATCCAGGTAGTTAACTCTTCCATGCCCAAAGACCAATCTAGAATGGTTAATGGATGTCGTCACATTCCAACAATAATTAACCGTTATTGCATCTGGAATACTTAACCACTAGACACATCCACCTCAAATGATGTGAATGTCATAAATATAGAAAGCATAAAAGAAACTAGAGGGGTTCCAAGAATTGACTAATTGCGCATTACATATCATTCAACCAACCCACGTAACTCAATTATGTAACTCGATTGATCGAGGTTGATGTTTGTCTAAAACATGGCCAAACATTGCTAACCTCCTCCCTTAAAGACTAAATTTTGTAGGTTTGGCAAATGAATTAATTAAAGAAAAGACATTATATAGATGTAAAAATGGTTAAATAATGACATCGACGACACCGAGGGTGAGGATCCATCAGAAGTCATCCTTCGTCAAACGATGGGAAGGGACAAAGCTAAATGGACGACATCCTCATCCGCAAGTAAGAGGACCGGTGACATACTTTTAGAAAAAGATAAACAAATATCTACATTTTCTCGGAAAGACGAAGGCTCGTCGTCAAAAGAAAAAAAAAACTTACCGATATTAAAATTTGAACACAACGCCCCAAACTGGATATCGTGCCAGAAAATGTAGCAACAGTTTTAAAACATCAACGAAAGGCCTGCGAAAAATACGACGATTAGTTTCTATGTTTTTGATATATCTACGTACGTTTTAATTTTTATGTATTTTTTGATTTGTAATGTAGGTTTTTTAATATATATATATATATATATATATATATATATATATATATATATATATATATATATATATATATATATATATATATATATATATATGCTTAGGTTATTATATTCTATTTAATTATTGTGCGGACGTATGGACAGTGTTATTCTTTGAGAATGATGAAGAAAATATGTTGCTTGATAATATAAACACGTTCAATTTTATATAGCTATTGTCATTAACATACATTCTCACTAATTAAATCGTCTATAAGGTTATTATACACTTATTATTATTATTCTCATTTCTATCAGAATGTTGTCATAATGTTTATTGGATGATATTCTGTCAGAATGAAAATGAATGAAAAAAGATGTGTGAGAACAAAAATAAATAATAATTAGCGAGAATGCATGAAAATGATAATATTTTTGTAAGGTTGAACATATTCATATTGCTAAACAACTTATTCTCTTAATAATTCTCGTAGAATAACATTGTCTACACATCCGCATAATAATTAGTTAGAATACTTGAGCCTAACCTCTCTTTCTCTCTCTCTCTCTCTCTCTCTCTCTCTCTATATATATATATATATATATATATATATATATATATATATATATATATATATATATATATAATTTTTATTAGTAAAATCTTTATTTGGTTTTGAAAATTATGTTTTTTTATTTAATGTGATATAAAAACATATTGTCTCCATTCCATATTAATAGTTTATGTTCATTTTTTTGTTTGTCCCTTAATAATAATTAATTCTAA